GAAGCACTAATATTTTGGCCAGTCTGCTGGTCAGCATCTACGCATGTGCACAGGAAATCAGAAAGATGCAGATGATAGCCGTTTGCTCGACCGAAGAGGCACGTGCAATTAAAAACATGTCAGACTGTCACTTAGCAAAACAACAACCTTCATCATTTAAATCGATGACCCTCCCCCCGCTATCAAACCCATGCTCGGGGAAGAGACTTGCAACAGTGGTGATCGTTTGTTCAAAGCAGCCTGTAAATTTTTGTAGAATGTAACCAACGATTCTTCTGAACAACTACTGATAGGATTGGCCTACCAGGCAAATCTCTCTTTTGAGTTATTAGCAATAACCTACTTGCACAGAATATTAGCACGCACTCGATGAGTGTCTAACTATAATAACCTTTAAAAACGCACAGGATTTCTATGCAAATCTTTGTCAAAGGTTCGAATCTGCCCCGACTTGAAGTGTACCCCAAGCGGCGAAAGAAACACAGTAAGTGAACAGTGTAAGTTTTCCAACTGAACTGAACCTGCTTGCCCTGAAGAAGGTACTCAGATACCGAAGCTCGGCAATCACGCATTTCAGAGCACTGAATTGATATTATATTCTTGTCGATATTCAGATCAGAGTGCTACGCAGCCCTTCCATATTTCTCTTAGTTGTCCAAGCTGGTTCACAACCATCCGGTTCGTAAGTGTGTCATCACTTCAGTTTAAACCATGCCCAAAGCACATACAGTTAGAAATTATATGGAACCATTGATCTCTATTACAGAGATCAATGGGGAGTTATTAAGCGGGCAACTTCAGCGTTTGTCCATTGTGAGCCGGCAATCAGTGGCACGGTCCGCATGTACAACGAAGTCACTTACGAACCGAACGCGTACTCAGCTTGCTCCACGCGCGTCAAACTCACCAATCCCATTATTAATGCGCGCCTATGCGCGTTGAGTACCAAAAAACACGCCCTCTTTTGTTCCGCTTGGAGCATTTTAAGCATGTCTTTCTTAAAAACATACATTTTCAAAAGGCATATATCTTACGTTTTTGCCGACGGTCGGTCATAACAGGATTCCGCTCATTTGTCAAGTGTGCAAAACAGGGCTCCAAGTGGAAATCTGCCAGAGACTTTGCGCACGATACGAACTTGAGAAGCGAGAGTAAAAACAACCCCGACACCTTATTCGTAAAGAATCCGTCTCTGGCCGAGATATAGGCCTACTCCAACCCTCCAAGTGTCGAATGTCTCATTAACAGAGACTATAGCAGTGTACACTCATGTATTGACACGCAGTGAGATAAAAACCACAAAACCAAGCAAAAATATTTTCTTCCGGTAGGCCGACGATAACACTGACTAGAAAATGCACCATGGTAAAGAAGAGAACAAATTAAAGTGGTCTTGGGACTTAATGCTACTTCATGTAGCAGTCGGCCCTGCTTGTAGTTTGCAAGAGGATGGCAGTCTGTCTGCCATTTAAGAAGGCCAGGGACCCAAATGAGACAGCAATCAAGACAAGAAACCTCAAACACTTCTTTGGCCAAAATTGAAAGCTAGGTGTTTCCACACGAGGCTGGCAGCTGCTGAGGTCGAGGGTTTGGGGACTGTCAGTGAAAGGTATGAGGAAAATTATCAGTGGGAAAATTATCGGTTGCCTGACGTGTTGGTATAACTCACAATATAGGGGCCGTCCACAAAGTACGTACGCACGAAGGGGGAGGGGGTGTGTTGGTGCCGTTACGTACACGATGAGTACAGATGGAGGGGGGGAGATTTCAAGCCAACAGTGCGTACCGTATGCAAGCCGAAAATTTGCCTGCAATGAATCTTCGGCTTCGACTATCGGCTTTCGTGCGTCGAAATTCAAACACAGTATTCTCCACCGTCCACTCTCCTCCCGTGTCAACGCCCATTATTAGTAAACCGCGACATTACTCAGGACAAAAAGACTGGCAGCATCTTCCGGAATTGTGAAATGCGTACAGGGAAGGGGGGTGGAGCCACTACGTACGCTATGCGCACAAAGAGAAGGGGGTCTGAAAAGTCGGCATTTCGCGCGTCCGTAATTTACGGAAGGCCCCATCCCTTCAGGAGGTCACAATTTATTATTATATTGTATTATTATTACAATGAGTCATGAAGAGTTTTGGAGACCGAAGACCGAGATCGGTTTTCACCCAGTTCAATCATTTAATATCAGTTTTACTCCATTACATTTTCCAACGCTACGGAGTCCTGACTGGCTGATTCAGTGGGACATAGCTAAAAAGTCAGATCTGCTTATTCTAAGGTACAGTGTACAAGCGTTCAAAACCATAGATAAGCATGCAAATTATTTGCGAAGGAACAAAATTACAAACGATTTTAATCGTAGATCCATTCACCGCAAAGGCTTTTGTTTTGTCTCCCCCCCCCCTGTTGTATTGCACAGTTTGACCGTTTATGACTTGAGTCTGGATGACTTGTGCAGTTGTGATTGACTAGTGAATGGTTTGGGGTGACTACTTAAACTCTTGGTAATACGTATTCTCTTTCAATGAATTGCTGTAGAGGGCTTTAAATTGCCCTTGCCAGCGGACTCATGTCATTTGGAGGAGGATTTACACGAATATATATGTTTTTCAACCAAAGCTGGAAATAAATACATGCAAGTATTACCGAATCTTTCACCACATTTATCACAATATCCCACAGTAGCCCACAGTAGCCCACAGTATCTGTAATTCAAGGGGCGCAGATGTGTTGTCATGCACATTGGGCTCACAACACCTGAACCGTTCCTGAAACCATCTAAGCTCCCTGGGGAGTGCTGCCATACCAAGAGTAAATGGGTAAACATAACTGTATCTGCCCCCACAGGTTCCCATTTACTCCTTGGGAAGACAGAGGCATGTGGGGGTAAAGTGACTTACCAAGATCACAGCATGCTGCCGCCAGCTGGATTATTTAGTATGGCAGTCTGACTGCAGTTCGAATACAACAGTTTTTATTGCATTAACTAACATAACCAATGCAGAAGAATCTACAACATTCTGCCATGATTGAAGCCTTACAAGAGGTAAATTTTCAGAGATGGTTTTAAGTGATTGATTGCCAGCTGTGAAAGAACAATGAAGTGGAAAAAGAATCCTCCTATTTTTACTAGTAATGGGAGAGAATACTCATACATGTTAATCATGGTATTGGGGAAACTTTAAAAGTGCACCAAAAACTGAGAACATCAGAAATAACGTGGAAAAGATATTCAACACAATTCACAACTTTCTTCCATTAATCAAAACCACCATCATCGATTTTTAACCAGGTGGATTCATAAGGTTACCAGGTGGTTCAAACAGGCTTTCGATGGAGTTGCCAACACTTGAAAAAAAAATGTCTAGATGGCAGATGCAAGTAGTACATTGACACACTCTTGCTAGGTCTCCTCATAAGTATTATTAGAGTTCTTGTGTGATGAGTTTTTGCCTTGCTTAGACTTCTCGTCTGATGAGCCCTCATCTTGCTTGATCATTCGAGCATCTTGGGGTATGAGGTTTGGAATACCATCAACGATTTTGTAAGCCACTCCCAGCTCATCGTTAACCAGCTCAGAGGCCTCTGCATCATACCTAGGAGTGAAAAGATGTATAAAGTAGTAACTAAGTTTTTTCAAACATTCATGTACTGTGCGTTAGAGGGACTATAAAGCATAGTGCGTTGTACCAAACGAAAAATGGGTAGGTCCTAATACAAGGTAGCATAAAGTGGACTGTGTGAGACTGGACAAGTCTCCACAGGAATTAGAGAATCAAAGTGATTGAGTATCCTGAATTTTACAACCACACAGCTGTTTTACATAGTGCATCCAAATGTTTCCACTTCCCCAACTTGCTAGTCTGTTCCCTATCCACTGACTACTTTTCATTCCTATATTATTTCAATGGACACTAGATCTGTCACTGTATATGCATGTATAAAAACACTAAAAAGACATTAATCTGGTACTGAGAAAATTGTCCCATTTTGTTTTGGAAAGAGTTCCTAATCTGGACATCATTTGACACCCTCTATGAACAAGTACAAACCCCATGAGACTCGTCTGAAAAAATCTGTTTTTCCTGAGATGGTTAACATTTTCTGTGCTAACTTTAACTTTTTGTGACATATATTTTTTCTTTTAAAATCCACACTCATTCTTGTGAACAAAATAATCACAGTTTCATTAATCTACACGAGTACAAAAAATCTCAAAACATCCTTGCTTCAAATCAATTTTTCTTTGCTTTGCTGAATCCAATGGAATCCAACCTCATATCAAAATATTTCTTACGATATTCTCTCCAAGATCCCTTCAAAAATACCAAAAAATTCCTACATATAGTCATTACTTCCAAAACTGTAAGGTTTAGCTACAGTGTACACGTACGTACAAACTCGTATGAATACATTTTGGCTGTTTTGATTGTGCCAACTTACTCTGCCACCACAGACAAAATATGTTTATGCGAGTTTGTACATACACATGTATAAGGGTTTCGATGAACCTTACACTAGAGTCTGGAAGTAGGCCTAGTTAACGTTAACCGTTAGCTGCTTCATGTGGTTAGTCATGCATGGCTTACCGTAACTGGCTCTTCGATAAAGGGCAAACCACAGCATCTAAAATGCTTGGATCGAATTTTGATTGACTGTAATTACTGGGGAAGATGTGGAGATATCTGATGGCATCACGCTCTTTGCAGCATTTGACTGTCATACATTTTCTGCCAAGAAAGACAGATCTGCGCGAAATCAGAGTTCTCATGGGCGCCGCCATTTTTATCTTTCTTCAGTCTCTCTCACCGTAATTCGATAATCGAATCGCCCCCCCAAAAATAATATTATTTGTATTTACACCCAGATTGAGAATACATGATAATTAATTAAGATAATGAAAGGATAATTTCAACTTTTTGCCATTAAAATGCCATATACTGTTTCGGAATGCCAAAAATCAATAATAAAAATTGCATCTGGATTGGGAGGGATTAACACAAGTCTACTATATTCCCAACCAAACTTGTCAAAAATGGCAGGGGAAACAGAGGACGAGGACTACGTGCGCCAAGTGGCTCTTTTGGACTCGTATTACATTTTAAGTAAGCCTAGGCCTGAACCCTTTTACCTTGACTTTCAATATAATCAATGTTTCCTTTGTAAGTGTGTCGATACTTACTCCAAATTGGTGTATTGACGTACAAGAGCATGTCCTCGCAACTAACTAGGCCTATCCATCAGGAGAGTGCATATAGCATGTATAGAGGCCTGTTATGAGGCTCTATACACGGTACGATGCCATGCACTGTGCGGGATAACCATCGAACCAAAATGCGTTTCCGATTTCAATTGAGCAAAGGATTTATGACTCCAATCCAAACTCATCTGAATATTACTTTTGGCATACTGAATCTCCAAACATTGTTAATTGTTGTGAATTTGCTTCATGATACATGTACATGTATGATATGTCGTCATGATGTACATTCTTTATTCTTTTCCTACGTCCATGGTCAGATGGTAAATAACTTTTAAAATTTGCATGTACATGTAACATGCGTGACTGTATACATGTAGTTACCAGGCATGCCAAGTCCCCCATATTGCCACCTACATGTATTGTCTAGTCTTATTGGTTTGCACTGGCACATGTAAGTGTCGAAGTAAGGGAACTGGCGACTATACGGTCATGCATGTTTCTCAATTTTTTTACTTTGAATAGGCAGTTTAAAAGATCATGAAACATTGATAGCCTAGGAATAAATTGTTATCTATGTATTACTGCCTGCTATCTTTTCCTTTCAGTTTCCAGGGTAGTGCAAGAAAATATTTTATATCAAAATTGTGCAGTTGGTGGCTAATCTTATTAAGTTAATTATAAGGTGGAGGGGAGTGGCACCATTTTCAATAGTTTTCATGACTCCAAAATTACTGAAGGATGTAATCTTCCCTATTGTTTAAAGGTTGAAAACCACTAAATACAATAAGTTTGTTTTTATGATCGTTCTGTTTGACTGAAAACTACTAGATCCTACAGCATACATTTTTCTTCCTTCAGTCAAATCTCAGCTGTTGCAACATCAGAGTCCTACAATTGGGCTCTTTCCAGCTGCCACTGGTGATGTCAAGAAATCCCGTGTGGCTCATGTAAGAGACAGCATCTATTGTGCTGTGGCAACTTGGACACTGGCCCTAGCATACAGGTAAAGACACAGGGTTTTACACTTCAGATCTGTGAGTAGTACATACATGTCTGCTTGAAGGACCCAGCGATGTTTCAATGGAATTTTCTGAAAGATACAATGATGGAAATACTAAGTTTTGTTTTTCAGGAAAATTGACAATGACCATGGTCGGACATACGAGCTGGAGCAAAGTGCCGTGAAATGCATGAGGGGAATACTCTATTGCTACCTGCGACAAGCAGAGAAGGTAGTGTGGTTTGTATTATTGCTTTGACACTTGGTCAAAATAGCCCGCTAGTTTCTTAAAAATTATTTCCTTAAGAGTTATTGGTACATCGGAGAAAAAAAGAGAGACCATCAGCAAAAAAGACATTCAGTTTTTGAGGTGAAAGGAAAGCCCGACAAATATTCCAGGGAAACCCATTGAATCAAAAGGGGACTAAAATACAATTGAAATACCAACCTAGATGGGCTTTAACCAAAGGTTTGCATATCATTATTGACCAAAAGACAAATACATGTTCATATAAGTGGTGTTCTAGTGTAGGAATACAGCTTGTAGACACAGTTTTAGACACACACGATGTTGTACAACTCTAGTTATGTCCATCACAGGTTAGGTCAGATTCAGAAGCAAAGATGGAAGAAGTAGGCCTGGTGAAAAGCAATGCTTTCTTGACAGTTCATCAGAAAAGTGTGTGACTCTTGCGATATTTGTGAGGACGTGAAAGACCCCACTTCAAAACTTTTTAAAGAATCATTTCAACGTGACCCTGATGATGAGTCTCTCCTAACAGTCTTTATCCCCTTTTTGTTTCCAATGATCAGTTGAGAGACGATTATCAATTCCATGTTGGATACTTTATTGAGAAGTTGATGCTAAAGATTCAGATGGAATCAGTTGGAATGTTCTCATCTGAAGTTTTATCTTCATTAGTTGGAGAAGTTCAAGTACACAAAGGGAGAGGACAACGCCCTTCATTGTCGCTATGACATGGTACGGGGAAACATGCTACCTGACAGCTATCACCACTTACAGATTGACCTGGTGTCCCTCTACCTGCTCTACCTGGTTCAGATGATTTCGTCAGGGCTACAGGTAACACATTTTTGTCAGTCTGTCATCTGGCTTTGCCTGTGCCATTGTCATTGTAATCCACTCTGATGAGAAGCATCTGCTCACTAGCTAAGAAGAGGTAGTACTGATGGGAAGGTTTTCAACGGGCCTTGGAAACACTCCAGGCCCACTCTGAAGCACTGTACTTAGTGCTGTCCAAGTCGATGCGGCTTCTATTTTCATACATGTTCTTGTAGAAACCCTTGTTGGCTTGTTCCTGCGCAGGGCAGATACATGTAGCTGGCATTAACATCTTTGCAAGTCTGTGACTGATTTATAGCCTGTCCTAGGGATGCATGGTTTCATGCAAGCCGCAGCCAAAGTGTTTAGGTGTAGCCTTTGTGTAGCACTGCTACAACACAGTTGAACAACTTGAAAATTGAAAATAAAACTTTAAAATGACAGGGATTACGCCAGAGGAAACCAGCTGTAAAGTTGTCACAAAAAAAAAAAAATAAGGAGATATGGTGCCAATCTGTTTTATTGGCAAGGACTGTTTTTTATAATGCAGTACAAAAATATAAGAATTACCTAATATGAAGGCTGCTTTACATTTATTCCTACATTAGAATAGTGTATGATCACTTTCAATTGATGTTGCATTATTCCACCTTTTTATAAATTTTTGAAATGTGGACTTGTGCTTTCAAGAATGTTTCCTTTGCACTGTATAATCCTGGATTTTATGTTTGTCACTTGTTGGTGCCAAAATCTGCATTTTCACATTTAGATGTGTTGTCTAATTTTCTCTCATCAGCTCAATACTTTTTCTGTTTAATTCATTTGTGACTGTGTGCGTTCACTTTTGCCCTGTGCTGTAAAAGTCCACCCGTTTTGCTCATAGATTATTTGGACACTTGACGAGGTTAGCTTCGTTCAGAACCTTGTGTTTTACGTGGAAAGAGCTTACCGAATCCCAGATTATGGCATGTGGGAGAGGGGCAGCAAGTATAACACAGGAAAATGTGAGCTCAACGCCAGGTAAGAATGCTGTCTTCATGTAACATTACATGGTATTGCAATTGGTAGGGTGCAGAGCCAAACAGTTACATCAATTTGTCCAGTATGTACTCTGCTGTGGCAGATTTTGAAAAGTTGAAGAACCACTTTTTGCACAGTACAGCTTGTTACTTTCCTATCCCTTTACTGCACATTGGGCTCGAATTCACCTCATGATGATTTTTGTGATCAATCGGAGCTGTGATTGCACAACCAAATGTCCAACAGATGGAAGCTCAACATGCATTCATAACTGGCAGGCATGTCATAGTTAGTCAGTGTGGCATTACAGAGGTGCGTGTACTGTTGCCCGTGGGTGCAGTGGGCAGAGATTTATGGATTTGTCAGCCCACATGCAAACATCAACAGTACCGTCATTGAATTTACAACACAGTGATGAAGTTCAGGAGATTCACTGTCACTGG